CCCAGCGCCGACACCACCTCGCCCTGGATGAGCCGCTCGCAGCCGCAGCAGCGCGTGCCGTAGAGCCGCTGGAAGTCCTGGGTGCAGATGTACTCGCCCTGCCGCACGAAGAAGCCGCCCTCCGCCAGGTCACAGCCACACGCTGCGTGGGACTCACGTTAGAGGCGTGGTGGCCTTGTCCCTGGGGCCCTGCCCGATGCAGCGTCTGGGCCTGTGGAGCCCAGGACCCGGCTCGGGGACAGACACCAACCCCAGCCCTGGCCTGGGTGCAGAGGAGCTTTCCCCAGACGGCTTGGAAGGGACAGCAATACCCTGAGGGCCGGCCCGGCCTCCCTCGCCCGCAGCCCCATGCCTCCTGACCCTGCGTGCCAGTCAGGTTATTCCAGGCCCCGCCAGGGAGCGCAGGCTAGTACTGCGCATCCACTGCACGCCACCGCGTCCCCAGGCCGGAGATCGGGAGGACGAGGGTCCTGTGGCCGCTCCCGGCCCCCGACTCCTCTGAGTGCCTGTGTGCCACGGCAGCAAGGCCAGGCCTTCTGCCTCCTTCCCCAGCACCAGCTCCAGGAAGCAGCAGTTGCAGGGCCTGGCGGAGGGACCCAGCGGGTGGGGAGGGCACGTGCAGCTCTGGACAGCTCAGAGCCCGACTGAGCGCCAGGGGCCTCGTGTGTGTCCCGGCCACATAACCCCTCCGGCCCGGGGCACTCGGGAACCACGCAGAGGGCACAGACTGCTGCAGTCACTTAGGAGGCCCCGCCTGGCCCCAGCCTGGCCATCCCGGTCCTCACGACTGGCACAGCTCAGCGACCCCCCAACCTGAGCTTTCTAACATCACAAGGCCCTCACATCTTAAAGTAGCAACGCTGCCATCTTTCGTGAGTGCAACGCAGGCGCCTCAGAACAGTGAGGTCATCGCTCACACATCCAGCGGCACATCGGTGACAAAGCCTGCAGCCGCACTCTTGGGACCAGCCAATGTGGCAGCTGGAGTCCCCATCCAGAGCCCAGCCAGCCCCTTCCAGGGAGCTGCGGTCACCGGTGACACGGTGAGAGCCCCACAGGCCCAGCCCGTGCCCTCCTGGCGGCGCTGGGCGGTGCCTGTCCCAGCAATGCGGGGCTCTGGGTGATCCTGGGGGGAGGGCGCTGGGCGGTGACCCCCCACTGCCGTCCAGCCCCACCCCACCAGCCCCTCCTGTGACCTCAGCCAGGGCTGAGACCTGGCCGCCCTGAAGACACCAAGGTCACTTTGAGGCAGAGACAGCCCAGACCCGTGCCTGCCAAAAATAAAAGTCTGAATTCACTGTAATTCTAGAAATCCTTATCAAGACACTGCATGCTATCACATTCCTTTCTGAAAAAGAGCAAAAGGAGAGGACCAGGCGGGCAGGCATTGGAGCTCAGGCTCCCACTGTGGTCAGTACCGTGAGCAGCCAGGAGGGGGCAGCCAGTGGGGAGGTTGAATCCTGCCACTCCCAGGAATCCCAGTGGGCACCTGCTCTGAGGAATGCAGACCCGCTCCTGCCCTTCGACCGAGGAATCCCCACCTGGGTGCAGTTCAGCCCTGTTCCCTGCTACTCCCTGTGCCAGCTGCAGAGTCAGAAGCCCAGGCCCAGTCTTTCTCTTGCCGCTTCACCACCCACTGTTGACCCTGGGGCATTCTTAACCTCCCCACACCCAGGTCCAGGCAGAGCTGTGTACGATGGATTTATCAGGAAACCAATGAGATGAGGTACAGAGCGGACACGCCAAGGGGTGAGGAGTTCAGTTCCCTGCGGGCCAGGGATCTCAAGGACTCTGAAGGGATCTGAAGGTATTTGGGCCGATTCTGAAATGCAGGCTGAGAAATCTATACGTTGAAGAAAGAGCCAGGCAGGGTGGCACAGGCCTGTAATCCCAGCACTCCAGGAGGCTGAGGCAGGAGAATTGATAGTTCAAGCCCAGCCTGGGCAAGACTTCACAAGACTCTGTTTCAAAATTTAAAAAGGCTGGAGAAGGAGCTCAGTGTGAAGGCCCTGGATTCCATTCCTAGGATGGCAGAAAAAAAAAAAAAAAAAAAAAAAAAGAAGGAAGGAAAGAAAGAAAAATAAAGAGGGAGGGAAAGAAAGACTACACGGTATTTAGACTTGAATACATCAGGATATAAAATCACCAGTACAGAGTGGCTGCCGATATCAGAAAAGACTCACTGGAAGGGAATCTTTGGGAGGACACACCCCAAACTCTGGGTGGGAGGGCAGGGGAAGGGGCAGAGCCAAGCAGCCCGCTCCAGGGGAGCCCTCCCCAGGACACCCCACCCCTGCACACCCATGTGTGCCCCAGACACACCCATCAGAGCTGTGTAGGACTCCAGGAACCGGTGGCTCCTGTAAACACTGCACTGCCCCCCGGGGTCCCCAAGGTCGGGGTGCGGGCCTTCTGCACCCACCAGCCTCTCCCAGCGAGCCTGGGTGGATCTGTCCCGGGTGACCTGCAGTTACCAAGCTGCACACAGCTCTGGGCTCCTCCCCTCTTCCCCAGGTTCCTGGCTCCTTCCAAATCCTGGGACTGAGTTCTGCTGCTCCGGGATCAGAGAACGCCTGCCTTCTGGGGTCGCACTGGCTGGCTCCGTCTCCCAGCCCAGGGCACAGGACCCGGCCCAGAAGGTCAGGAGAGCAGGCGCGGGACAGAGGACAAACCACTTGTAGGATGGTGACAAAACAGGCTCCATGGTGTGCTGCACGAGGTGTGAGCCAAAATTATAGTGAATAAATAATTGAAAAATTAGTGGGCTGGGGATGTAGCTCAGCAGTGCCGCCGTCTGCCTCACAAGAGCAAGGTCCAGAGTTCGATCTCCAGTACAAAAAAAAAAAATTACTAAGTAAAACACTTCCACGAATGCCCCCCAAATCCTCCCCTCACTGGGAACACACCCGTCACACCCTGCTCGCCACCCTCTGCGGCAGCTCGTAAGAGTCGGAGTCGTGCTATTGCTTTGCTGTTCGGAACGGACCCACAGCACCTCCTTTCTGGGTAAGAGCCGGAGTCGCGCATGCCAGACCCCACGAGGAAGGCGGCTGAGGCACAGCGCCGCCCCATGAGCTGCCTGTCCAGGGCATCGCAGCACAGCAGCAGCACTGCCTGCGTTCGCTCATCAGCCTGGGGAAGACCCTCAGCGAAGAGCCTTCCGGAGGGCTACAGAGCGGTGAGAACCATGGCAGGAGTGGGGTCAAAGTGAGGACCCAGGGCAAAGCTCTTAAAAACGTAGACACCGCCTGTTCTGGCTGCCCCTTCAATGTCTGCTGTATACCCTTCATCCATCTATCCCAGTTCACGGCGAAATGGAGCCCGCTGGCCGCTGATGTCTGTCTGGAACCAGGCGCCCTCTCCTCCCTGTCTGGGCCACCCTCATCCGTAGCCTGGGCCCTGCACCTGCACCAAACCCTGGCACCCACCAGGACCTCTGCACTCTCCCGTGTCACAGTCAAGGTCCTCACAAGGAGGAACGGGGGCCACCACCCCAGCTCACCACACAGACTGCCTGCTGCTCCCAAAGCCCATCCTGCCCCAGGGCCTTTGTTCTGGCTGATCCTCTGGGTGGAATACCACCTGGGCTTCCCTCAGAAGTCTCCTCCCTCACAAAGCCCAAAATGACCCCCACATACATACTTCAAGCGCTGCCTTATCATGCTCCTCTCCTTCCCCTCCCCAGCCCACTGACCAACCAGACATATAGAAAGTCTTTGGGGAAACTTCAGGGAAAGGACAGGGCACTCTGCCTGTACAGATCTTCTTCCAGTCCTCTCTTAGATTATATAGCACCCCATGAGAGTGTGATGTTGGAGCTATAGCAGCCATATTGAGACCATGAGGAGAAGCACTGTGGATAGGCAGAGTGAGATTCGGGAGAGGAGTCAGTTGGGGAAGGGGAAGTGGAAAGAGAAGCTCAGTCTTTGGCGACCCTGGGTGCTGACTGAGGCACAGCCCTGCTGGGACCCCAGGGCCAGCAAGGCACCCACTGCGTGGACTCAGGCTGGCTGTGGGCTGAGAGGGTGGGCCCAGTGCCAGGTTCCTGTGGCAGACTCCTGCCACACGGCCCCTCCTGCCCTTTGCCCTCCTTGGGCAGTACCACGGACGGGTGCTGTGCCCTCATGTGGCCAGCTGCTCTGACAGGAAGGGGCCTAGGGCCGCTCCCACCCCCGCCACCCGGGGCCACAGCAGGCGAGGCTCTGGGTCTCCGGCCCGTGTTTTGTCCACATAGAGCTGTGGCCGGCTTAGCGAGAAACCCTGCTAAAGAAAGTATCTGCTTCCACCTGGGCGTTCGAGTCAGCTTTGCAGGGCAGGCTACTGCCGTCTCCAGAGCCCGCAGTGTGGGCTGAGGGTCCTCAGTGCTGACAGATGAAGCCAGCAGCCCCGGGGAAGCTTGTGGAGGGCAGGAGGCAGGACCGTGCACCCCTTCCTTCTGGAGCCCGGGGCGTGGGCGCAGCACAGGGGGCCACACAGCACCAGCCCTGCTCCCCAGCTGTGTGCCAGGCGGGGCCACCCATGCACCGGCATCCTGGGCTGCCCTGTCACTGACCCGGGGGCTCTGGCTGCCTAGGGGAGGGCAGTGGGGTGCCAGGGGCTGAGGTGGCTGTGGGTGCACAGGGGACCCCTGGAGCCCGGTGTTCTGGGGTGTCAGCTGGCCCCGTGGTATCCCCGAGTTTTTCACAGATGGCCCTGGGTTAGCCTTGGCCTGAGGCAGTGGGGCTCCTCCTCGAGGTCTCAGCATCAGGAGAGACAGTTGGCTCTGGTGAAGTGAAGTTACCCACCCTAAATGACCTGCCCCTAAGTCACCCCGCCCCCGTGCTGTCTCCATGCGCCTCCCTGTGGACGCTGACCTCTCTGCGGTGGCAGCACCAGGGGACTTCCAGGGTGTCCCTTCTGCAGCAGGAGAGCCTAGGCCAGGGCTGACAGCTTTGGGCTCCTACAGCTGAATCTTGGGCCTGGGACCTGAGGCAATGGGCGGGGTTCCCGATGGGGCGGAGCTCCTGATGATGGGGCGGGGCCGAGTCCCTGGTGTCCACCTCCCCCCTGGGCCCCCTAGAACTGGTTCAGAGGCACAGAGTGACCATCTCCAAGCTAGGGAGGTGTCCCCGCTGCAATGGAGTCAAAGTCCTTCACAGGGCTGCCGGCAGGGAGGACCCGGGACGGCTGAGTCTGCTACCTTCAAGTCACAGCCAAGCACCACCTCTCTGTGCAGCCTTCCTGCGGCCCACACCCCGGCAGAGGCTTCTACTCTGAAGTCTGGGTGTGCTCTGCGCATCCCCTCCACCCCCCACAGGCTGTGGGCCCAGAGACAAAGCTTCACAGGGCCAGGCAGCGCCAGCCAGAACCCCCAACTTCCGGCCTGCCGCATGTCTCCCTGATGCTGGCTGCTCACAGAAAAGCAAACCTTCCTTACAGCTGCTCTCCTCACTCTGAGGCAGGGAGAACCTCCCGGGTGATGGCGGTGGCGGTGGCCGTGGCAGGAGGGCATGGAGCCACCCCAGGGCCAGCGTGCACTGATGCCCGCCCACCCTCTGCCCACAAGCCCTTCCCACACGGCCAGCAGGAGTCCCGTCCGTCCACAGAGCACAGTGAGGAGAAGGCGGCTCGGAGCAGCCCTCTGGGATGCAGGGCAGCTGTGCCTCTCACTCAGACACCCGCTTTCTGGCACATTTCCATCTAGTACATCAAGTGCTAGTGTTTATACGGGAGGGGAGTTATTTTCCCTGGGAATGGGTGGGGATGGTCTCTGGGCAGCTGTGTGACCCACGGGGCCAGTGGTCCGGCACTGTGGCCTTCATACGGCCCAGTGACCCCTGAGCCGCAGGAGGACAGCCCTGACCACCTCTCACCTCCTTCACCACCCCCAGCCAGCAGCCTCCTGTCCATACCGGGTGACCAGAGGACACTGAGAAGCTCCTGCCGTGGTGGGAAGATTCCCACTCAGAGCTTTCCCGGAGCGCAGGCCGACCCCGAGTCCCCGTGCGTGGGCCCAGCGGGCTGTGTGGCCCCGCCAGGGCCGGGAGCAGACCGCTCACCTTTGCAGACGAAGCACTTGATGTGGAAATACTTGTCCTGCACCCGCAGCACCTCCCCCTTGCACAGGCTTCCACACGCGCTGCACAGGATGGCCGTGCTGGGCGGCTTCTCCAGGGGGCTGTGCGCAGCCTGGGGCTCCGACACTGTGGAGAGAGAAGTCACCTTAGAGAGTGGGGTCCGGGGAGGGGTGAGCAAACCAGCAAGAGGCCAAGATGGGGCCCTGCTGGCCTCTTCTGCCTGGGAACAGAGGACAGTGACGGCCTAGGGCTCAGACCACTCGGTCAACTGCAAAGTGGGGTTCCTAGCTGTGGCAGCCCCCACAATGAGCAGCCCTGTCCTTTGTCACTGGGTCACCTGCAGTGACCAGGCCATCACAGCCCCCTGCGAGGATGACCCAGCCCCTTCTGTTTCACCTGGCAGGACAGTGACCCTGGAGGGTCACAGACGCGACCCCTCCCCACATCCCTCAGCGAGCTCGGTCCTCTTCAGCAGCTGGAGCCCCCAGACTTGTTTCTCCTGTGAGTACAGTGGCCACGGTCCTCACGAGGGCCAGCTTCACACTCCCTGGGTCCTGAGATGTGGATCTGAACAGTGCTGCTGTAGCCCTAGTCAGCCACAGCACGGGATGTTTGAGCGGGTCTGGAAACCACAGGAGGACGTGTCAGGATGGACAGCCACAGGGCCTGACCACGGGGCCCAGGACCAGGCAGGACCCGCACTCCCCACCACGTCTCCCAAGAGCACCTCAGAGGCAGTGGCCAGGATGCTGGGGGCCCTGGCCAGCCCTGTTGGGGGGACAGCAGTGAGCTTCTGTGACGGGCAGGTGGCACAGCTAGAGGGAGCTCTGAGCTCTGAGCTGTGAGGAGGGGCCGTGGGACAGGGTACTGCCACCCGGCTGCAGCTGGACCCTCCTCAGGGCTGAGCGATGTCCCCTGCATGCCCCTCTGAGGCCAGGGGCACTGCAGACACAGACTGGCACGTCCTCGTGCCACTGGGCACCCAGGGAAGCCGGGCGGGGCTGCGCTCATCCCACTGCGCCGAGTGCCGGCCCTGGGTTGCCGTGGAGATGCGGGCACAGGAAGGCGGTGTCACGGAAAGGAACTCTGCTCAGCCCTGGACACCTAGGGCCCAGGTCCGCCTGGCCTCACTTTTCCAGAACTCGGGAGAGAGCCTGTCAGGCAGCGGCCCGGAGTCCAGCTGCAAGGGGCTCCTGAGACTGTCCCTGGAGGTGAGCACAGCATCCCCAGGCTGCAGAGCCACACGCACCTGCTCGTGTGCAGCCAGGGGCGCTGGAGGGATGCGGGGCGAAAGCCCAGATACCAGGCAGACCCGGCACTGAGGGCCCGGGAGCAAGGCGGCTGGGTGGGGTGGGGGGACGTCCTGGTGAGTCACCGGCCCTCACGCCCGACCAGACCGGGCTTGTCAACACTGCCCTGTTCTTTACAGGGACACAAAGGACAATGGGCTGCATCCCTCCCGATCACACAGGCACGTTTCACAGGCTGGACCCTGGCTGCACCCCAGAAGGAGCAGAATGGCAGCTTCAGGCTCTCGGGGGCAGTGCTGGCCATGAGGCCACGACAGCCTCAGCCCCGCCTCCCGTGTGACCTCCAAGACCCCAGCCCCTGCTGTCCATCCCTCACCTGTCCTCCTACCACCTCACCCGGCCCTGGGGCCCCTAGGACCATGGCAAAATGTCTGCCTAGCAACCAGTCAGCAAACAGTGGAGGGACTGGGTGGTGGAGCTGCCCTCTGGTGGCGGGAAGCAGACACTGCACGTGGCCGCTCCTCAGCACAGGTGTGCAGCCCACTCAGGCGGCCCAGGCTGGTAGGGGAGCAGGGAGTCCGGTGCTGGCCCAGAAAGGGCGCAGGGGCTGGGGGGGCCCAAACCAC